CCCATGGAAACAGGAGGAGGTAAATGAATTAAACAAATTTTAAAACATACTGAGATCCAGATCTTGGCCCCATTGATGTTTTCTTGTTGGCTGTCAGTGGAAATAAGACCAAACCATAAATACTTCTTTTTAAAAAAATCAATATTTTTTCCTTATAAATAGTTTAAATAAGTCATTCCAAATACAATTTCTGCATTTTTAAACAAATTTCATATAAAGCTATTTTTACACAGGCCTAAAAAGAATAGTTTAAATGTTTTAAACCATGAATTCTCAGAATGGGTGAGGAAAATGGATGTGAACTATACCTGTTATCACTCAGATTTAAAACCCTCAGCTTCTGCATCTGCCCAATTTCATCAGGAAGGAATTCCAGCTTGTTGGAACGCAGGGACATCACTGTGACATTTTTACAGCTTCCAATCTAGAGGAAGAAAAAAACCCCAAAGGTGTTAGGTACTTTGATCCAATTTATTAACACTTAACTTTTATGCCAAACTGTGTTTTGACTGTGACAAAAAGAAGGAAATAGAGAATCTAGCTAAAAAATAATGTCCTCCCTTTGTCAGTGACATCAGGGCAATGCCAAGGGTTATATTTATTATAATTATTATGCCAAGGTATATTTATTAACATACTGGTTTTACTATTTTACTATGGAGTGTGTAAGGAAGGTTCAGGCTTCCACCTAATTCTTTTAAACAGAAATTTTGTCCAAGTAGGGGTGAAATCTTGAGTTGACCACAAAACTCTTCTAGTTGTGCTTTCAGACAGAGTCAGCTCCTCACCTCTCTGGGCAGTTCAGGCAGGAAATTCTCATCCACAGCCAACGTCCTCAGGTTGTGAAGGTAGCCAATGGTAGAAGGTAAGGACTCCAGCTCGTTACAGCTGCAGTCAAATTCTTCTAATAAAGATAAGCTGAAATTGTAAGCACACTCATTAGATGCTGCACAAGGGCTAGATTAAAAAACAAAAATGAACAATTAAACCCTTTGATAGTTTTAAAGCATCACACTACTACAGACATCATGCCCTGAAGAGGGAACCTTCACTGCAGATCTCCCTAGGAGGCTATAATAATGTGATTTTAGGAATTATTTGGGACACTGTTCATCCATAAGGCAGTTGAAGATGGACCACTTAGTTTCATCACATCATCATCCTTACTTTGGCTAGCAAGGACATAGTCCAAGTACTTCAAAGCAAGAGTAAGCTGAAGAATCAAGGCAAGAAGTTTATAATCCTAACATCCAAAAACAACAGTTAAAGAAATTCCACTGGTGGGAGCAAAGAGAAGTGGAGCAGAAATTGCCTCCAGGGTCTGTGCCAGCTGAGGCCCTTGACATCACTCCTGATCAGTAGTGAAAAAGGATGAATTTGGATATGAATTTGGATCTCAACTCAGCAGAGTAATCTCAGCCTGTTGCTGTCAGAGCTGTTGTACAAGTGCTTATCTTTCACCTGTTAAGCTGGCCAAAAAGTGACCTGGAAAGGGCATCTCTGTGGTGAGGACTGACCCAAAGCAGACCAAGGCAAGTAATCCTCTGGTGCTCAAGTTCTCACTCTAAAAACAATGAAATAATCTCCACTGCTGCCTTGTCTCCTTTGTCCTAGACTGATGTATTCTGTGAAACTGTGAAATGAGCCCTGACCATTCCTCCATGGAATCATGGTTTCAGTAAAGAAAGGGGTTTATTGTCCACTGACTGTGAAACGAGCTGGAGGTTTTGTACTGAGTTCTAAAGGAAAGAGATCCACAGCAGATCCTGCTGGATCCATGGGCCGAGGCCACTGGGATGAAAGTCTACTTAGGCCAAGGGCTGGGTCCTGCCCTTGGGTCACAACAACCCCCTGCAGCTCCAGGATGGGGCAGAGGGGCTGGAAACTCCCTGAGAGAAAAGGACCTGGGGGTGCTGGTGGACAGTCAGCTGGAGAGGAGCCAGAGTGTGCCCAGGTGGCCAAGGAGGCCACCAGCATCCTGGCCTGGATCAGCACTAGTGGGACCAGCAGGACTAGGGCAAGGATCATCTCCCCATACAGGGCACTGGGGAGGGCATATCTCAAATCCTGGGGTCAGTTTTGGGCCCCTCCCTCCCAGCAGGATCTTGAGGGGCTGGAGCATGGCCAGAGAAGGGCAACGGAGCTGCTGGGGAAGGGTCTAGAGCCCAAGTGTGGGGAGGAGCAGCTGAGGGAGCTGGGGGTGCTGAGCCTGGAGCAAAGGAGGCTCAGGGGAGACCTTCTGGCTCTGCACAGCTCCTGACAGGAGCCTGGAGCCAGGGGGGGGTCGGGCTCTGCTCCCAAGGGACAAGGGACAGGACAAGAGGAAACGGCCTCAAGTTGCCCCAGGGGAGGTTGAGGTTGTCCCTGAGGAACAATTGCTTGCCCTGGAGGGTTGCCCAGGGCTGTGCCAGGCTGCCCAGGGCAGTGGTGGAGTCCCCACCCCTGGAGGGGGTTCCAAGCCGTGGAGATGTGGTGTGAGGGACACGGGGCAGTGGGGACCTAGCAGTGCTGGAGGAACTTTTAGTGTCAATGATCTGAAAGGTTTTTTCCAACCCAAAGGATTCTGTGGTTCTCTCATTCCATAGAAGTCCCCCCCTTCTCTGACAGCAGCTCTGTGGAACGAAAGCCAAGGACACATGGACAGCTGACCCAGGGCAGTGTGGTGACAGTCCACTCTTGACCCTCTTCACCCACTGCTACTCTGGTATGAAATGTCCAGAGCATGTAGATATGTCCAGGAATGTACAGAAGCAATAAATGGTATATGGAGATACACATGTATGATATATATTATACACCTAGGTATAGATAAAAATATTCTGAAGAAATCTCTCCCTCTCCACTGACCAAGGGAGGACTGGGTGCCCTGAGGAGTTTTTTTTGGAGACGTTTTGGTAGCTCTGATAAGAAGTTTACTCTTTACAAACCTTGCTCCTCAGTATTTATGAGTCACAACTGGAAGGTCCAGTGGGAAAGCTGGTTAAATTGCACATTCCTCCCTCCCTTTACTGCTGAGAACACGACCAGAAAAGCTTCAACATAGATAAGCTAACTGAGAAGTCCAACAGCAATCAGGAAATCAGATAATCTGAACCATAATTTCCCCCATGGTGCAGGATGGCTTTATCAGGCCACGGAATTTTATTTGAAAGCTACTCTCTGCCCCAGACATTCTCAGCTTTGTTCCTTCCTGATGTCATCAGTAGCAGTCTTTTATTAGGAAAAGAACTTTCAGATCATTGAGTCCAACTGTTCCCCAGCACTGCCAGGTCCTCACTGTGTTCTCAGGTAGATGATGAATGTTTTTAGACAGATCAGCAGAGAGAGATTCGTGGAGAATGACCAGTGCCACGAATCAAAGGTTTTAGATGGGTTTCCAACCCATCCCACCCTCATTTCATACTGTCACAGCCCTCCTTTCCTAACACCCCCTCAACCAGAGAGCTGCCACAGCCACCTAAATCCAAGAGTTGGGAGACCTGGGAACACATCTCTACACTTCAATTTGCAGCATCTGGTAGAGAAATGGTGTGGCCCAGATACACACACAAACCATCCCCTCTAGACACAGGCTCTTGACCTACTGCACCACCACCTAGAGATGGGCCACATCATCCCTCGTGACACCTTCCTACCCACAAAAGGCCACTCACTCCTGCTGCTAAAACCTCCAGTCTTTTGACTCCAATCTGGTAATGCAGTCAATCAATGTGGCCCCACTGGTCTCATGTGGAATGTTTTATGAAGCTGGGTCCACTGTGCATAGAGCATCTTGAGGGTCTAAGTAAATGCCACTTAGAGGCTTGCCCTTTGTAGAAGAAAGACAAAAATGTGGGTGGTGGTTCACCATGAGCCACAGCCACTGAGAGAGTGTTGAAGTGCTCTGTGTTTCATCACCAAATTGGTGCCTGGAGGGAGAGTTCCCTCCTCCACTTTGCTATTCTTTGTGTGACAATAATACACTCTGCAGTGGGTCCTATGACTCTGATTTAGGAGCAAAAGACCCAGTGGGAAACAATCCAAATGGATGAGTCAGAGGAAGGAAGTTCATTTTGATGGGGGAGAGGCTGTCCTCATGAAATGAGTGAAGGTACTTCATTCAAAAAGCACAACTCAAAAATAACATGGGATTAGGAGGTGATTAGCCAACTGTTTTGCATTTAAAGCAGCAACATCTATCTTTAAAAATGTAATTAAGGCTCCATGACAACACCACTGAACACATAGAAGTTAAAAATAAAAAAGGGGGGGGATTCTCCTTCAATTTAAACAATTTAATAAATAAAGGTTTTAAAAGGTTTGCAAAACACCCCCAAAATTATTCGTGTTGGACATGATATCAAGTGGCCAGGGGAGCTTTGAGCCTTAGCAGCTCAGAATTTATCACTACACAAAGGTCTGTGCAGCAAAGATTTGCCCTTTTGCCAGTCCTATAACCCATTTTTTAATACTTTCCATGAATATCACATAAATATAAAGAAGTACAGCATGATAAGCTGGACCAGAGCTTTCAGTGACTATAGCTGTAATAGTTCAGAAATTGGGATCCTTCTTTTTTTCCCCATAATGGCATTGAAATATCTAAATTATTATTGAAATTATTACTACAAAATGGGTTCAGGAGTAGCAAGGCACTGTCCGTGCAGCTTAGAGATGATTTCTATTCTAGAGACCTCATTGTACCATCATACTTCAAGATGAGTTGAAATGAAGCCTTCTAGGTCTTAATTTGGGAAGCCTGAGAAGAGCCCTGGCTTAAGAAAACTACTCCTAATGATATAGTTTGTTCAGCTACAACCTGATGAATAGAGAACACCCCACGGGTGGAGTATGGCTGGGGAGCAGCCCTGGGGAGAAGGACCTGGGGGTCCTGGTTGATGAGATGCCCAACATGAGCCAACAATGTTCACCTGCATTCCAGGAGCCCTCAATGGCAGCCTGGGGTCAACCCCAGCAGCAGGGTCAGCAGGACAGGGAGGGGATCCTGCCCCTCTGCCAGCTCTGTGAGACCCCCCTGCAGTGCTGGGGCAGCTCTGGAGTCCTCAGCACAGCAGAGCCAGGGACCTGCTGGAGCGGGGCCAGAGGAGCCCCAGCAATGCCCCGAGGGGGGAACCCCTCTGCTGGGAGCCCAGCAGGAGAGAGTTGGGCTGGGGCAGCCACAGAGGAGAAGGCTCCAGCTGGGGAGACCCCCTGGGGGCTGCCAGGACTGCCAGGGGCCTGCCAGAAAGCTGGGGGGGACTTTTGACAAGGTCTTGTAGTGACAGGATGAGGGGTAATGGTTTCAAACTGGAAGAGGGGAGATTTAGATGAGAAATTAGGGAGAAGTTCTTCACTCTGAGAGTGGTGAGACCCTGGCCCAGGTTGCCCAGGGAAGCTGTGGATGCTCCATCCCTGGAGGTGTTCAAGGCCAGGTTGGATGGGGCTGTGAGCAACCTGCTCTAGTGGGAGGTGTCCCTGCCCATGGCAGGGGGGTTGGAACTAGATAATGTTGAAGGTCCCTTCCAACCCAACCCATTCTAGGGATTCATGGTTGCCCACGTTCCGTGCTGCCAGCACAGATGGGTACAAATGGCACAACCAGTCCCAGCAGACAACTGTTCCTTGGGCTGAGCTCTGCCTCTTCCACAGAAACGCTCCCAGTGGTGCAGGGGGGATGATGAAAAACACCAGTAGTACAGCTGTGGAAGGCACCCAGGGACCATGTATTCTGAATTTTTAACCAAATACCAGTTGATGTAGCATTTCAGAAGTCAAATATGTAGAGAAAGATGCATCCAACAAATCTATCAAGGTTAAAGATGTGTTCTGCTAGGGAGGGATATGTGCAGTGAGAAACAATCTCAAGAACCACCCTAGGGGACACACATCCACCTTGAATTCCACAATAAATTGAAGATATTACTGAGGAATAAGCTCAAGCCACACAGCACTCCAAGAGAGATTTTTTTTGCCCCAGTGATCACAAAATATCTGACAAAACAACAGCTAAAGGGCATCATTAGTGTGTCTCCTCCTAAATGACTTCTACGGTACCTTCCCAGGTTGCTCTGTGCACCTATGAAGCCCTCACGACTTCTTCATTTAGGATACTTCAACCTTTTAAGGAATCTTCATACCTATGAGATTTCCAGCCATGTTTTTTTCCAGCATCCAGCCCAGGCTGTTGCTATGGAAACAGTTATATTTCCCCAAATTCTTCTCTTCCTTCTACTTTTGCTGCTCTAATCATTTAAATTGCAAGTGATTCACACCGAAAAATGTCTCGGTTCTTTTTCTTGGAAAATGTGATAGATTTCACCTTCTTATCACTTATGCCACTCTAAATCCACAGCAGTAATAGTGCTGCCCCAAATTCAAATGTGATAAGCTGGGTCTTAGGCAGGCGTTTGGAAATGACTTTATAATTCTTCTGTCTTATTTGTTCTTTTAAACCCCCGACGTTCTGCAAGCAGAAGACACATTTTTATTATTGTTAAAAATCCTGAGGCTTCTACTCACTTTCCAATTGCATTTGGCAGGATGGTAAGCTGGTTGTCATCCACTTTTAGAGTTGTAAGTCTTTTCAACAGTCCTAAAAAGAGGAAAGGAAGAAGTAACAGAAGAATATTTCACATTAATCTTTCTTACTTGCTGTAATCCCCCATCTCCTTAAGCAAACAACTGAATAACTTTGAGCTAGATTCTAGAAAACAGCTGTAATTAGGAGAGTACCTCAGTCCATAGACACATTCTTGTCCCACTGAAAATCTAGCTCATCCAAATGAAGCCCTGATTATAAATTAAGCTGAATTGCAAGTGAAATATTAAATTAATTTCTAGAGTCTTGAAAAAACTGTAAAAAAAACCAATAGCATCCCACCTGTGTAGGAAGAGTAGAATTTCTAATTATTTATTAATGTTTTAATTGAATTCAAGACCTGTTGCCTTGATTAAAAGATGCCAAGGTCAGAGGAGGATATTAGATGAATTATCTGAAGTAAATGCTACATTTAGAAAGCTTCATACTATGTAGCTAGAGATAGAAAATCAGAATCAGGCTGAAAAACAGGATCAATCCTGAGTGCATTTGGTATTTTGCATTTCTATATGTGGTTAATTCTTTTCATTAACAGAATTATTCCACAGCTCAGTGTAGGCAGATGCATAACTGGGTAATATTTACTATGAAGAGAATGAAACTTCTCCTTTATCAGTGCCTAGCAGCAGAAAACAATAAAATAGTAAAGGCAGGAAAAAAAATGGGAAAAATATATTATAGTTCTAGAAACAGAGCTTGAAACAGATTTTCACCTTTTGGGAGTTATTCACATTTTAAAATCTGGGGTTTTTTCCCTCCTGAAAGAATTTTGGATATACTGAAATAGCATTTTAAAAATCATTATTTGTATTTAGTGTTGGGAATAATATAAATGATTCCCCAATACAGAGAGATCTGTGAAATGCAAGGTGCAGCAAGATGAAAGCTGAAGCAAATGAGAAGCAGAATTAAAAAGGACACTAGAAACAGCACTGAGGTCAACTGCAGAACATTTATCTTGAAACCTTCCCAAATCAGCATGTTCCAAGAAGCAGCTACGTGTCAACAACATCTTTTAAGAGAACTTCAACATAAATGTTAATAAATTAAAAATTCATCTGCGTCTGCATATCAGAAACCCACCTAAATAAAATATCCCTGAATCTATGGTGAGATGGAGAAGGTCAGAACAGAAAGGAGCTGCAGAAGACATCTAGGAACATTCACCTAGCACAGTTTTATCCTTTGGCAACACATTTTGGAATCTTGACTAAGTTGAGTTAAAATTGGAGGATTTAACAGTGCTGTGAGCAAAGAGACACACTCAGAGAAGTGAAAAAGGGGATGATGATACAATGGGCTCATCAGCTGGCAGCAATAAAAGAAAGACCCTCAAGTGTTTCTAAAGAAAATACAAGGGATTGAGACTGGAATGAAATGTGCAGGTGTATAGAGTGAGATACCTACAACCACTCAGCTCCCTGCTACACTTCCTTCTCAAGTCAGATCAGACCAATTGTGTCTTTCTTTGCCTATTTTCTTTAAACCAGCAAATCAGAATAAGCAATACCTTCTAAACATGGATTTTCCCCCTGACTTTACAAAATAGTCTTCAGGGCTCCAGACAGAGATGTTTCAAACTCCTTTGGCTGCTCTTGTTCCAGCTATTATAAAATCTCATATTTACCCAAAAAAAAAAAAGATACAAATGAAATCCTCAGCTGTAAAAGAAGACAAGAAATCCTGAGTTTTTTCTCACCTATGGAGTCTGGCAGTTGCTGCAACATGTTGGATGACAACAAGAGATCTTCAAGTCCTTCACATCCTGATATATCCAGATCAACAGTTTCTATCCTATTTTTTGACACATCCAGGTACACAAGCTGTTTTAACTTCCCTATAGACTTAATAACATGTTACAAAGTGTTACTCAAGGAGAAATACACTCTCTGGCAGCTTCTAAGATTAATTATAAACAACAGTAGCACAGGAGAACAGCCATTTATCTCAGCAGCCTTGTTACAAGAGTTATTCCACTGAAGCAGCATCAGTGGTGGTCTAACCACCTTCCCACTGAGACTGCAGAAGGACCTGCACCAAAATGACACCCCCCAAACTAATTAATATGGCCCAGATTCATTAAATGTGCTGGAAGTTTGAGTTCTCAGTCAGAGAGCTTCATCTGGCCACAGATCCAAGGGACATCTACTCACCATTTACATCTACCCAGCAGCCCTTAAAATCACTGAGCCTAGACCTCCAGGTAAAGCTTTCCTGTGTAAAACTGAGCCTTGAATTTTGGAAAATCTAACAGATTTTAGATATTCCTAGTCCAATCAGTAGTGGTTAAGCCCAACAGCAGACTTGGGAATAGTGTTTCACTGCAGCTGTGCCATCCATGAGCAACATGACTGGAATTCTTCCCTAATTTCTTTGAAATCTGAGAATGATGTCACTGGTACAAAGGAGTTAAACAAGGAATATTTCAAACCAGATAACTAGACACCCATGGTCTGTGAGGGAACCTTCATGGATTTTGGAAGAGCCATGAGAATCACTCATTAAGTGTTTGGATTCTGTAAAAGTTCATAGGAGTGGGGTTTTGGTTATTTACAGCTACTTTTAGGGGTTGCTTACTGAACACATGAAAAAGGGAAATAGTTTTAGACAGTTCCACCTGCAGGGACTTTTGAAACACCACAACTGGCACTTGGTTGTCATCTCTCACCTTGCTAAGATCTGCTCTTGGCTTCCAAGGAGGCACTTTTGGGTCATCTTTAATCATATCTGCAGTGTTGTATAGAGGGAAAATCTCTTTCATCTCTTTCACCCCCAACCTTTGCCATTCTACCCTCATTAACAACTGAAGATCATCTTCATTTCCAGCACTGACCACTCTCCTAAAAACTGAATTATCACCACTGGAAACCTGGCAAACCTCTCAATCTTAAAATCAACTACTAGTTGGTATTTCCTTTCAAAGTCAAAATTTAAAGCTAATATTAACTCTTTTAAGCCTCTTGTTTTGGAGAAAGCTTTCATAAAACATCAACAAGGCTCTACTAGAAGCAGAATCAGGAAGCATGAATTATTCACTGAAATAATTATGCTCCTTGGGATTCAGTTCCACGATATCCTGAACCTCTGCAACACTAAATACCCTCCCCAGGGATTACAATAGCTCAGCAGGACTGTGCTTGGAACACATTTTAGCACTGGGTGTATTCAACAATTCTGTTGTGAACAAAAAAAGAGCCAGAATAAAGGTTAAAAGGCTTGTGCCCACTCTTGTATACCTGATAATTCTTCTACTCAGTTACACTGCAGCCACAACACTGCAAAAGTTCTGGTCTTGAGCTCCAGATGGTTTCAGTATCAAGAAGTGGTTCCAATATCAGCTTTTTTCCCCCCCCCTTTTTCACTAGCAAAGCAGTCAGAAAGTGGAAATTTGGTTAGCAACAGAAAACAACCATTTTCTGTGCAACCATCCTCCAAAACCCTTTTCTCCAGCCATAATTAGTGTAGACATGGGAGAGTCCTAATTTCAAATCATTTATGGCAATGAAAATCTCAAAGCCAGGTTCTGCTGTGGGGTGGCAACAACTCAGCAGCAGCACTAATATAGAATCAGCACATTTAGATTTTAAAGTCTTTTTATTCCATTTCTGAATGGAATATTTGCTATAAGAATATATTTTCACTCCACTGCATCAGAATTGCCTTTATATAGTTGAATTTGTACACACCATCTGTTCTTTTTTTTTGTTTGTTTAGATTACTTATTATTTCATCCTCCTTGTTAAACGTATGAGGTTTTATAAATTTAATATAAATCATTAAAGTGCTGGGCAATGGGTGTTATAAATTTAAATTAAATGGGTTTTATAAATGTCATATAAATCATGAAATTTTAAAATGCTGGGCAATGGGTGGCAACTGAGAAGAAAATAGGAAATAATTTCCCCTTGCAATAAAAACTACACATAAAACAACCAAAAAAAAAAGGCACATCCCCATTTAGACACTATAACTCCACATGTAAAAGGTGTTCATCTGAATGGCTGTGCTGAGATTTTAGTTCTTGAAAATAATAATTAACTGTAGGAACTAGGAGTATGTTCCCATCCAAAGGAAATGCACGTGGATTTCTGTACTGCAGGGTAAACACTTCACTGGATCACACCAAAGTTTGATGACACGAAATAAATGTTCATACCCCAGGTAGTACTTGCAAAGAATTATTGTCCATCCATAATTCCTTCAGATTCTGTATTTGTTCGAGAACTTCAGGCTGAGGGGAAGAATAGGGACAGTGAAATAAAGCAGTATTTTGTTCAGTTAATGAATAGAAATATAAAGCAGTAGGTATTCATCAGTCTTAATATAGAATACTATAGAAAATATATAGAATATTAAGTAATATTAAGTAATATATT